CAGCGCTGATTGCATAAGCAGCTGCAATGATATGAGGAGTATATTTGTGCGTAAATTAACTCCATTACTGAAAGAGGCATTGTCGGAAAGGATCGTGGATTTTGATTTTTGCATACCTCACAGCCAAGAATCTCCTATGGTAAGTTACTGTAGTGGACTTCTTCTTCTTGCAGTTTTGCCAAAATTAGTATCAATTTTTTGGAATTGGCTAAGTATTTGTAACATACGGCGACGAAAATGTCTGCAATCCTGTGAAGGACGCCTCCACGAAATTTTTTTTTAACTGGTTTTTCAGTATCGTAAATTAATTGGTAGCAAAATCAAGAAGGTCGATGAAGTGGATTGATGTTTGTAGCTTCCTTTAGTAACTGTTTGAGCAGGGCTGCCTTAATACGGAGCCGGTGAATGGCTTCGTATCGTGCAGCGACTTATTGCAATTTTATCGACCGGTCGTACTGGCAGCACAGGTTTTTAAGGGTCTCCACCTGTTCGAGCGTCCACAGGTCTGTACCCCCTATGGGAGAGGCTTGATTTACCGTTATGGGACCGGAGTGCAGGATTTCATTGCAGCCATACAAGAGAGTAAGCAAGGAACGTTTCTGGCCGTGCTGATGCCCATGAGCGCCACACATTATTGGGGTAGTATCCAGGACAAAGTAAACGACTGCTCAATTGTAGAAATGCGAAGAGGTGGCGCACATACATCGAATAGGTAATGGGCACTAACTAGAGATATGCAGCATAGAATCAAAAAGGGGCACGATTTTGGTGAACTCGAAGTGCGAAAGCGTCCAAATAAAATCATTAACATGAAATACCTACACTGATTGTTCGGGGACGGTCTTGGTACTGTCGGACAATGTTGGATAGTTGGATCATTACGCTATTGTGATATGAACATAGGCGAATCCAGAGGGCACCCCCTCCCTTCAGTCGACATAGGCATTAGTGTTGCAAAAGTCCAGGTCTAAAGCTAAAACTAAAGTAAACTGAAGCCTAAACTAACTAGGGCAAGTACCAGTGCTGCAACTGTATTCCTAGTTTTTGCATAGTTCCAGGGTGCGAGGGGATTCCTCCTCACTGCCCATCGCTCGCTCCCCTCAGAGTTTCGTCCAGGATCCGCCTATGGGTATGATTCTGGAAGTTAATTTTATCATGATAATCCGATGTTTTTTACGGCTGATTACAGTGGGAAGTGCATGAGAAACCAATCGTTTTTCCAACGGAAGACGATGTCTCAGTGTTACTTGGTCTTCGACTTGCCCCAAAATGGAACAATCCATTGACTCGTGGGCCACCAGCTAAATCTGCAGAAGCGGCACATTTTCGTGAATTCTGGGGTGATCGATGTGAGCTGCGCAAATATCCGGATAATGCAATTTGTGAAACAGTCGCATGGAACTCCCCGGATGTCCCGCTTCTCATCTGC